ATAAATTAGAGAGGCGTTGCAGGTTGCAGAGGGAGCGAGGTTATGTGGTGCTAAAAAAATCATTGGTGTGGATATAAACCCACAAAAATTTGAAACGGGTAATTTATTTTCCTAATTCTTCTTGGGATTTTAGCAGCATTAACTACTAATCGATTAAAGGGGATAGTGCAACATTTCAGAACACATTCTGTGTATTTTGTCGTTCTTGGATTGATGTTCTTTTTCTCTTACGCTTAGATACCCTAGAATCATTAATTCTGTCAATTATAAGTTTTGAGAAATAATGAACTACCCTGATTTCATTTCTCTGCTCTACATAGGTAAAATATTTGGAGTAACTGATTTTGTCGACTCCAGGAACTGTGGAGATAAATCTGTGCGGCAGGTAGTTCTCTTAATTCAATTTTATTTTATTGTTTTCTAACAATACCGATGCTTCAGACAGCACCAATGGAAAACGTTGTCAGATGTCGTTTCCTTGTCCACTCCAGTCCAACATTAGCCTCAAAGAATCAGAGGGGTGTTATCTCGTGCTTGCTTCCACATTTATTAATTTTTTCTTCTTCATTATATTTCTTAGGTCATAAATGAGATGACTAATGGGGGAGCAGACTACTGCTTTGAATGTGTTGGAATGGCTTCTTTGGTCGAGGAAGCATATGCTTGCTGCCGAAAGGTTTTCTTCTGTCGTGTCTAAAGTCCTATCTTTTTCACGCACTGACACTCACACTGCAGTCATTCTATAATAGGGGTTTTGCTCTTGTAACAGGGAGGCTGATCGCCTCCCCTGTTTTCCTAGCAAAACCCTTCTTATAGATGCTGCTTAAATGAGGCGTCTGAATATTTCTTAGTTGCATTGATAAGCAGAAGATATTTGACGAGAAGTTACTGATTTTTAGCTTTTTCCATTTACCCTCCTTTTCGTCTAATTTCAGGGTTGGGGGAAGACTGTTGTGCTAGGGGTGGACAAACCTGGAGCAGAGCTGAAATTCAGTTCATTTGAAGTCCTTCATTCTGGGAAAACTATCACGGGATGCTTGTTTGGAGGTCTTAAACCAAAATCCGACATCTCCACCCTAGTTAAACGTTATATGGACAAGGTAATTAAAGTTTATCATAGTCCTTTCTGCTCTTTTCAGGATTAACTTGCTCGAATAATGAAGGATATTCTGCATCTTTCTTTGTATCTCTGGATACCTTTTATTACAGGCCTCCTTCTTGTTGAACATTTTTTCTCTCTCGAAATTTAGCTTAAATAAATATTGATCTTTCATTTCCACACGTGCAGGAATTGCAACTCGACGAGTTCGTGACCCATGAAGTTGGGTTTGAAGACATAAACAAAGCTTTTGACTTACTTTTGGAAGGAAAGAGCCTCAGATGTGTGATTTGGATGGACAAATGAATTTTTTTTCTTACAATGTATGCCTCTGCGATGTATCCATGTGCTTTTACTGATCACTTTTTTGCAATAATTTCCATTCAACCGAAATAAATTTTCTGAGTTTGAAACAATCACATCAAACTTGTTTTTTGTAGATGAAATTGCTTCAATCTTCTTGAGCTTTTGCTTAGATGAACTGTCCAGAGGGATAAATAAAAACTATTTAAGTGCTTGCTTAAAAGTTTACTTTTAACTAAAAAAGTAAGAAATAAGTTACTTATAACATAGGAATTACTTAAAGTAAATTTTACTTGGACGTAAAAGAAACAATTAAGTTATTTCAAAAAAATAAAAAATAATATTAAATGTCTTTTTTGTTCTCCTTTTGATCTTTCACTGCCCAGATTGAAAATAAATAACCAATGTAAATTAGTGAACGTATTTTTCCTTTGAGTAATGTTATTCATTTAGAATCCAGTTAATGATCAATTTATGTGACAGTACGATCATTGTCACATTGTCTAATGAAGTTGAAATGCATTGGGCAATGTAACAATGACTTTATTACCATATAGACCATCGATTGTATAAATTCTAAATGGATAATATTATTCTTCTGGTTCATCTCGGAATGAAGGGGATTGGCTTGCCTATTTTAGAGTTTCGTCCACAATAATTCCAAGTTCCTATACTATACTAGCCCAAAGTTGGAAGAGCTAGCTAACAACTTTGCACAAAGCAATTCAACAATAACCACTTGCATGCTACCTAAGCGCATCATTTCTCCTTCAAATGGTGTTGGAAGGGATAGGTTTGCCTACTCTGGAAGTCTGCCCACAATAACTGCCAGTAATTTCCAATTCCTCTTGTCCCGGCCTATGTGCCCCGGGATTTCTAGCAAAACCCATTTTAACCTAGTCCAGGCTTAAAAGGGAAGACAATATAGCCCAATAATAGGGTTGAGTTCAGTTAAAAGGTCTAGTCAAGAATTAGAAATCTTTAACTCTCTATCGTTCGAGAGCAATAAAATCGCAAAATGAAAATAGACACATAAAACATGCAAAGTTTATAAAAATTCATCTCATTATGAAACTACATTATTGTTCATCGATACAGTATTTCACTATCATGAAAAGAAATTTACAAGAGAAAACACATACACCTTATTTTAGCATTTTCTATAACCTCTCTTTTTGACGATGATACAAAACTTTAATGACAATTATCTATTTATAAGAAATGTTGGGGTTAAACGAAATAAAGTGTGAAATTCATGAACTTTCCTCGATGAAATTTTGGTTTGGAGGCTCCCAAGGCTTCCCATACCCCTTCCAACTTTACCGGGCCAAGGTTGATGTGCTTACTAACTTCGTACAATGACAATAATTAAATTTCACAAATTAACAATTACTTCTAGCATAAAAATACGATTTGGGTATTTTCATTGATAGTCCCAGTCCAAATCTAATGAGCTGGGGTGGGTGGGATTCATCAGTGGGAAATGAACCTCGTCTATACATCAAATTCATCAATCCACTTAAATATAATTTGAATAGAAAGCTACGAAAATTTAATTACGACTAAATGTCACTCAAGAACCAAACATAAGCATCTTTTATCCATGTGACCGTACATGCAATATTCTTCCCAATCCAAGATTTCACTCCCTTCTGTACCTAAATTTTGAAAAAACCAGCGGATTAAAAAATTAGGCTCATCATCATTGATTTGTTAATAATTATACTTTCTTCACAAAGTGCATCGATTGAATTCAATAATTTTAGAATATTTTGTAAATTAAAATCTCTCTAATTTGCAAGGGAAAAAAAATCCGATAAACTCCGTTGCCGATTCAAATTTATCTTCCTATTTTTATGATAAATTATATCCCGTTTGGCCCCTTTAAAATACTTCAATTTAATTTAATTTTTTTTCTCTCCAACTTTCAACCACACAATTTTCAATAAAATAATATTACATTCAAATCGAAAACTTATCAATCACACACTCTTCAAAAAAAATATTATTCCCTCATTACAAATTCAAATAATGGGAGTCTTACAGGGGCTTAATTTACTGAGTTTGCAAGAGAAAATACTATCGTAAATCTTCTCACCAACTTGAATTTTATATCTACTCTTTTTTTTTTTTTTTTTTTTAATAATGTGCAATGCATTTATGAAATAAAGAACATGTCATGAAAATTGTCCTTTCCTAAACTGTCATTAAATTCCCCACTGGCCACTACCTAGTTATTGTAAAATATTTAGTTTTTTAAGTTGAACCCATGTATCTGTTGTAACATAAAATTTACACGTTAATTAGTTCATCGCAAATATATATGAGCTCTGACTTTTTCCATTATCAACAAATTGCGATGGAATTATGAAATTCTTTAACATGGCGGATTTTTTGGTTGTTGAAGTTGTGCTTCCTTGCACGGAACAAGGAACAATAATATTAAAAACTTAAATTTTATGGTACACAAAAGTACAGGAATATTCCTTTTGTTGCAAAAATGACAATAAAAAATTGCTGATTATATATATTTGATCAATAAAGCTGTGTAGGTACAGGATAGTTTTGATAGAAAATCTACAGATTTTTAAAAATGATGATTTGACAGTAAAATAAAAAGGAAAATGAAAATAACAAAAATACAGAACCGCCAAACCCAAATGAAAAATCCCATTTTCCCCAAATTAGCCCAAGCAATACAAAATAGAGAAACCCGATGTCCTTATCTCCACATCTCCGGCCAGCATTTCACCGCACATCTCCGGCCAGCATCCCTCCGTCATTTACGCTACATCTCCGGCTTGAGTTTTTAGTTCTTCTTTGTTTTTTTTTTTTCCCTCTTATTCCTATAAGACCGTTTTAACGCCCTTAGCCCCTTCCCATCTCTTTCTTTAGCTGGTGGTTTTTCTGAAACAATGTTAGCTAGATAAGATGGTGAGTAGTGATAATATAAAGGACTGAGGTCTAGGATAGGTTTGATTAGGGCTTACAAAAGTGACAATCATGGCTCTCTATGGACTTTCACTGTTGTCTAGGATTTTTCTGAAACAAATCCAGCATGGTAAATAAATCTACTTGGATTTCTTGCCTTTTAATGTTTTTACAGTCTTGGCTAGCTGCTTTAGCTTGGAACATTAAACTATCAGTTTGGAGGATAAAGATGCAGCAATCATCAAGTTCTGTTTCTTCTAATTCATTTGTTTATTAAACATGGAACATTAGAAGGATGCTTCGTCCTTTTCGGTGCCTTATTTTTAGCACAAATTTCAGATTTTGGCAACCAAAGTGGCTGATTCCACCCCCCCCCCCCCCCCCCCCCCCCCCACTCTTCACTACTCTTTTTTTTTTTTTTTTTTTTTTTTTTTTTTTTTTTTTTTTTTTTTTTTTTTTTTTTTTTGGAGAGA